TCCCACCCACCCACACACTCCCACTAAGAACACTCATGCACAGGGACAGTCTGTTATGGTCAGAACTCCAGTCCAGGTTTTTAAACCTTTTTAATATTTTTTTATCAACAGTACATTTTGTTGAAGAGCAAATCATTTATGATGTGTTTCAAATATAGATTTGTGTAAACTAGTACCTGTTTTTGACTAAAATAAACCAACAGCTACATCTTTCTACACAATCATGTTAAGTGTTTATAATATTTGTTAACCAAAGTATAATGTTTTTGATTGGTTTCTAAAGGTTTATTATATAAGTTAATGTCCCCTTTCAACATAAGATTTTAATTAAAAAAAGACATTTCCCCTTTATTGCAAAAACACTGTAAAATGAAATTCTTTTGATGCAGATCATTTTCACAGGAAGCTGCACTTTTTAATCTGAAACACTTCATTGAACAAAGCTTTGTTTCTTTCACGCTTTAAGTTGTAAACTGTGTCACGATGCTTGAAAGAAAGTGATTGGTTGAGGAGTTTAAAGCCCTGGGGGTCAGGGGTCAATGTGTTAATGACCCTGTTTATTACGAGGATGTGTGTGTTTCTCTGTGTCACGTTGATTTGACTGTGAAGATTTAAATCAGCCCTGTGGCAATGAGCACGGAGTGAACTTCACCGGCTCGTCACTGATGTTAACATTATTGCCTTGTGTTTACTGAGGACCAGGGTTTTCCTCTGGGAGAAGTTGTCACATATTTAATAGTTTAAGCCTGACCTGGAGTTGATGTGTGTGCCCACCACCGTGAACTTCTGATCTGTTTTAGTTTTCTTTTAATTTATCTTGTTCATATGAAGTTTATATTCATGGGTGACTGTTTGACCAGGTGAAAATAAAACACAGATGACAGTGTTTAAGCTTAACCAACGAAAAGTCTTAACCTTAACAGGCTACAAATTAATCAAACATATTTCAGAATTTTAGTCAAAGAAATGTACAACAAGAAATTTGTACTATTACAAAATAGGTCAGACATTACAAAAAAATACAGTTGCTAGGTTATAGAAAAAACAAAATAACCTAATCCTGGCAAAACAGCTAGATGTCAACAAAAATGACAGGACATAGACACAGATATGTCCCCACATGCGCTGTACTTAAAGATTGTGTGTGTGTGTGTTTCCCTTGAACAATGGCTTCATCTTCCAGTGGTGTGACAGAGTAGCGGCACTGTTGTCCGCTGAGATTAGTGAAGGCGCTAGCTGTGGGCAGTGAGTGTGAGAAATCATTCCACTCTATCAAACTGCATCACAGTCACACCTCTGTCGCCTCTTCTCCTCTGATGCTGCTGAGAGACAATGGTGTTTGTAAATTATACAATAACGGCAGAATAGTTTGTCCCTTCATTACAGTTTAGGAAACTTTAGAGAGGAACAGCTGAGGAACTGAGGCGCTAAATTAGCTTAACTATGGCTAAGCTTAATAAAAAAGGAAAAATGCTAGAAGTTAACAAAGGTAGCACTAGTAATAATTGTATTAGTTTATTCTATGAACATATCTATAGCAATAGTTAAAATTTAGGGAATTAAAGATATCCTAAAAAAACAAAGGTAGAAAAAGTAGTCATAACTAAAGCTAACTAAATGACCTTAATATAGCAAAACACCTAAAAAAGATCATACATTTCTCATTAAAAAAATAAAAACGTATTACACAAACAAAGTTATCTACAAAATATTTAATTTTTTAAAATTTTTGACAACAATATAAAATTATCTTTGATATTAGCAAAAATAGTAGCATCATTGTTTGAAATCCTTTGTTAAAGTCAGCGTCAGTTACAAAACAATGACCATGGGGGGCAGCAGTGGACCAGCAGCTCAAACTTCTTTGGTCTTTGGTGTGGCAAGGGTGGAGAGAACGACTATAAGTTACACC